GCATACAATCCCCCTGTTGCGCCAACTCCACTGGCTACCGATCTGCTACCGGGCTGAATTCAAAGTGCTGGCGTTGGCCTTTAAAGCCCTAAACGGTTCCGGCCCAAGCTACCTATCCGACCGCATCTCTCTATGAACCCACCAGGACTTTGAGATCTTCCGGGGAGGCCCTGCTCTCGATCCCGCCTGCTTCTCAAGCTGGGCTGGCGGGGACGAGAGATAGGGCCTTCTCGGTGGTGGCTCCTCGGCTGTGGAACGGACATTAGACTAGCACCATCTCTAATGGTATTCCGCAAAAAGTGAAGACCTGGCTGTTTGAGCAGGCGTTCGAATAATTTGCAATGATTGGTTAATGAACACTGGAATGGAACAATGGATGACGAATCTGGAACATGTTTTTGATGAAGACGACAGTGAATGGGTATTGTAGTAACTGTTTATTAATTGTGTAATGTGTTAGGTTGTTAACTGTTTTTATACTGTAGCACTGAATTTTTGCTGTTCGTATTTGTTGTGAACCGCTGTGAGTCGCCTTCGGGCTGAGAACAGCGGTATATAAGTAAGGTAAATAAATAAATAAATAAATAAATAATAGACAAGCACCTTCACACACACACATGTAAGATATAATATAGATTTGAAAGGGATCCCTAAAGAAGGACAATGATATGTTTTATGTTCCAGAGTAGGCAAACCAGATAATCGCTACATCAACACTGCCAAAGAAACAACAAGAAATACTGTTTACCCGCAAACATCAAGAAATTACATATATTAGAAACCAGCTTTCTCATTACTTTCTTTTCAAGATCACCAGACAGGATCACAGCAACACATGGCAGGGGACGGTTAGTGTGTGTTTGTGTGTGTATATGTATGTATGTATGTGTGTATGGCATGGGCCAACTTTGGTCCTCCATGTGCTTTGGACTTTGACCCCCACAATTCCAAACAGCCAGTAGGAAGTCCAAAATACCTGGAGGGCCAAAATTTGTCCATGCCCATATATATATTACAGTACTAAAGCAGCTGTTTTGGCTTAGTTGGGTGTGTTATCTACTTACCGTATAAAACAGGGGTCCTCAAACTGAGGTCTGAGGGCCGGATACAGCCCTCCAAAGTCATTTACCCAGCCCTTGCTCAGGGTCAACCTAAGTCTGAAACGCCTTGAAAGCACACCACAACAATCCTATATCATCAGCCAAAAGCAGTCCCATACTTCAAAGTGAAATACTAATAAGTTTATATTTGTTAAATTGTTCTTCATTTTAAATATCGTATTGTTTTTAATTTTTTTGCACTACAAATAAGATATGTGCAGTGTGTATAGCAATTTATTTATGTTTTTTTTTCAAATTATAATCCGGCCTTCCAACAGTTTGAGGGATTGTGACGTGGCCCAGTGTTTAAAAAGTTTGAGGACCCCTGGCATAAAACAAGGCACAGAGTGTGTGGTTGTTGAGCTTTGCATTTTCTTAGTTTGGCTCAGTTTTAGAGCTGGTAGCTCATCGGAGCTGGAAGCAGCATTTGGAAACTGAAGCTGAAGTCAACACCAAGAAAGACTGCTTGTCTGTGGCAGGTCAAGGGCATCTTATTTTCAACATAGACAGAAACTGAACTAATTACTACCTTTATTTACTGTTGTAGATAAAAGATGACGACTCGCTGAAGAAAGTGTTTGTTGTTATACTTTGGTGAGATCAACTATTCTGATTTGCTTTGTATTATTACTGAACAAAAGTGACTGAACATTTTTTTTTCTACTGAAAGTCACAACTGGCTCATGTATGTTTGAGTTGAGGGTCACACTGTATTAAAAGGGGCTGAAACATCTTTAACAGGCTAGATGCTGGCTTCCATGGTCTGCTATCACCAGTCTGACATGGGGTGTAGAGATACAGGAACAACCAGGCTCACATGCTTATTAAAAGTGGTTTTCTTAAAGTCAAGAATTTGCCCACAAGAATATATGATACATGTAGATTTATAAGAAAATACATCTTTAAATACAAGATGCTACAATTCTAACAGCAATTATGGCAAAAAGAATGAATACATTTTATATATACATATACACATATACATACACACACACACACATATGGTTTCATAGCAGGGAGAAAAATGTCAAGTTTAATGGACAGGGTTTTAAATATAATATATAATATAAAAAGAGAAATGTAATGTTGGTGTACAGGAAAAGAGATTTAAAGATGAGCTTAAAGCCAACTTTAAAAACTGTGGCACAGACACAGAGAACTGGGAAGACCTGGCCCTTGAGAGCCCTAGCTGGACATCAGCTGTGACCAGCAGTGCTGCAAAATTTGAAGAGGCACGAATGGAGGGCGAAAGGGAGAAACGTGCCAACAGGAAGGCGTGTCAAACCAACCCTGACCAGGACTGCCTTCCACATGAAAACCGATGTCGTCGCTGCGGGAGAACATGCGGATCAAGAATAGGGCTCCACAGCCACCTACGGACCCACCGACAACGCACTACACTTGGAGGACGATCATCCTCGGTCTATGAGGGATCGCCTAAGTAAGAAAGTGTTGTGAAAAAGTGATAAATAAGTCCCAATCTTTCTTGAAGTTGCTCAAAGATTTCCCTTCAATCAACAGTCACTTTTTCTATCTCAGATGGGTTGTAGATTTCAATTAGTCATTCTTCTTGTGTGGGATAACGACTTCCTCCCATCTCTGAGGATAAATTATGCTTGCTGCAGTTATAATATATTCTAGGCATCTTCCAAATGTTTCTAGACAACTGTCAAGCATTCCTATGAAACAAAATTTGTGTTTCACTGTAAATTTAAACTGTACAATTTTTATCCAGGATCATATATTTTTGTCCAGTCCAATATTTCTGGAAAAGCACCACAATATCATAAAAATATCCCAACAATATTAACGAGTATTGCCTTTGTATGTTTCAGATCAGAGCTTTCCAAACTGTGTGCCATGACACAATAGTATGCCGTTGTAGTACACAGAATCTATATAGATTTCAACTCTTAAAGACCTGAATTATGAGTGAAGCTCTGTGCACACTCCAAGTATTCACAAGGTTTCTCCCCAGTGTGAGTCCTTTAATGGGAAGGTAGATTTGAATTATGAGTGAAGTCCACGTTTCATGCATTTCTAGGGTTTCTCCCCAGTGGTTTTGTGTGTGTGTGTGTGTGTGTGTGTCAGGAGCAACCACTCCTGTTGTGAGAGAATTGGCCGTCTGCAAGGACGTTGCCAAGGGGATGCCTGGATGATTTTTTTGATGTTTTATCATCCTTGTGGGAGGCTTCTCTCATGTCCCCGCATGAGGAGTTGGAGCTAATAGAGGGAGCTCATCCGCCTCTCCCTGGATTCGAACCTGCGACCTGTCGGTCTTCAGTCCTGCAGGCACAGTGCTTTAACCCACTGCGCCACCGGGGGCTCCCTCTCCAATGTGAGTCCTTTGATGCGAATTATGAATTATGAATTAATAATTATTTGAATTAATAATTATTTGAATTATGAGTGAAGCTCTGTCCATGTTTCATGCATTTATAGGGTTTCTCCCCAGTGTGAATCATTTGATGCGAACGTAGACTTCCACTCTGAGTGAAGCTCTGTCCACACTCCAGGCATTTATAGGGTTTCTCCCCAGTGTGAGTCCTTTGATGTGACTGTAGGTTTGAACTTTGAGTGAAGCTCTGTCCACACTCCAGACATGTATAGGGTTTCTCCCCAGTGTGAGTCCTTTGATGCCGACGTAGACTTGAACTGTGAGTGAAGTTCTTTCCACACTCCAGGCATTTATATGGTTTTTCCTCAGTGTGAACCCTTTGATGTGAATGTAGATTTCTACTATGAGTGAAGCTCTGTCCACATTCCAGACAAGTATAGGGTTTCTCCCCAGTGTGAGTCCTTTGATGTGATTGTAGATTTCCACCTTGGGTGAAGCTCTGTCCACATTCCAGACATGTATAGGGTTTCTCCCCAGTGTGAGTCCTGAGATGTGATTGTAGATTTCCACTATGAGCGAAGCTCTGCCCACATTCCAGGCAAGTATAGGGATTCTCCCCGGTGTGAACCCTTTGATGTGAATGTAGATGTCCACGTTGAGTGAAGCTCTGTCCACATTCCAGGCAACTGTAGGGTTTCTCCCCAGTGTGAGTCCTTTGATGTTTTTGTAGATTTCCACTATGAGTGAAGCTCTGTCCACATTCCAGGCAAGTATAGGGTTTCTCCCCAGTGTGAGTCCTTTGATGTGAATGTAGATTTCCACTATGAGTGAAGATCTGTCCACATTCCAGGCAAGTATAGGGTTTCTCCCCAGTGTGAGTCCTTTGATGTGATTGTAGATTCCCACTTTGAGTGAAGCTTTTTCCACACTCTAGACATGTATAGGGTTTCTCCCCAGTGTGAGTCCTTTGATGCCGATGTAGACTTGAACTGTGAGGGAAGTTCTGTCCACACTCCAGGCATGTATAGGATTTCTCCCCAGTTTCAACCCTTTGCTGCGAACATTTATCTGAATTCTGAGTGAAGCTCTGTCCAACCTCTAGGAATTTATAGGGTTTCTCCCCCGTGTGAGTTCTTTGATGTCTATGCTCCTCACCAGTATGAATCTTTTCATGGTGCTGGAGATGATCCCTCTGTGTGAAATACTTTCCACACTCCACGTCTTCAGAAGCGTTCTCCTTCATGTCAATAGTGATATGGGTGTTGAATTGCAACACAGATACTTGGCTCTCCTTTTTTCCTTTCTTATCTGTAAGTGAGGTCAAGAATTCAGCAAGGTTATCACCTTGAAATGATTTCTTCTCTTCCTATACTAATGGTGTCCTTACTGCACCCAAGAGGCGGCTCCATAGAATCCTCATCTCCCTGGTCAAGAAAGAAGCAAAAGATTAGTGATGAAACTAAAAACCTTCTTTACCTGCAAGATGTCCCCATTTTCCTGTCACGGGTCATGTTGAAAATGGAAATAACAAGAAATGCTGGACTCAATGTCTCAAGAACATACACTGATACCAGCAAAGGCAGTAATGGTTCTAAAAAAGGAATGAATTCAGAAAAAAGAAGAAAAAGAAAGGACTGAGGAAAGAAGAAAAGAATAAATAATGAAAGGAAGGGGGAACTCTTTCTAATACTGGAGCATCACACTGATTACATTGGTTCGAACACTAAAAAGGTGAAGGTAGGCAAACAGGCAGGAATATTAAAGGGTGTCACTCACTGGATAAGGAGTTTCACTGAATTACCAGGATGTGCTAAATGCTGAGGGTCTTAAAGATTACTGGGCTGCCCCCCTCCCACACTGGGTCCCAGGTCCACTTCCAGAACATCTCAAATTAGATGTTTGCTGTTCTCTCTCTCTCTTACATGGAACACTTTGAGAAACAAGCACCAACAATTTTATCCAGGGAGTGGGCAGGGAGGACAGCGTGGGTGTGGAGAGTCGGCAGGGAAGGCACTTTGGATGTGAAACAGTAGGCATGGTGTCTTTGGTGTGGTGAATGGGAAGGGAGGGGGCTTGGGTGTGGGGAATGGGCAGGGAGGGCAACTTGGGGGTGAAATTTGGGTGTGGGCAGGGAGGGCAGCTTGGACATGAAGAGTAGGCAGGAAAGGCGCCTTGGATATGGAGAAGTGGGCTTGGAGGGCGCTTTGAACAGGGAGGACAGCTAGAGTGTGGGGAGTGGGCAGGGAGGGGTGGTTTGCATGTGGGCAGTGGGCAGGAATGGCAGCTTCCCTGTGGGCAGGTGTAACAAGAAATTCAATGTGCAGATTTGACAAATATGAATTTAATATGATGTGTGGGAATGAATGGAAGAATGAAAGCTGTATGGATGGATGTATTTCGGAAACACCAGTATAATATTAAGGCCTGCAATGACTAACTACCTGCTTGCTGCTTTGTGATTAAAACCTGTTAATGAGATATGAAGAGTAAACTCTGATAAGAACGGGACAGTGATAAAGGAAATGTTTGCAACCTTCCTTATGTTAAGAAGGAAGTCAACACAAGCCTTGTGTTTGTTAACACCAATCAAGAAGACCAACACTGAGATGGATCCAGTATGGAAGACGTCTATCATTAATTTACAACTTTGGGACTACATCAACAGAATATTACTATAAAATAATGCTCAAATTGTGACAGATAGATAGAGATTGTGACAGATAGAGACGCTGTTCACCCGCCATGTCTGGTCCATGGGAAGGAGAGAGATGGTGTATTTGGAGAGTGGCAGATCTGCAAGGGAGCAGTCTGGTCACCTTGGGACTTCTTTCTCAATGGAAGAGGAAGAAGTGCGCTTTTGGAGTCTTGGATTTTGTGCAGGGAGTCAGGCTCTGCTATATGGAAAACAGAGATCTGGTCCTTGGCATTGTTCTTAAGGAAGAAGTTTTGGCGTTATGGAAGTTTTGGAACTATGCATTGGCAGGCTGCAGGAAATCAGGGTCTGGCCTAACAGGTGTTTCTCCAAGGAGGGAGAAAAGGATATGGTAATATTTGGATGCATGCGAATGAATGCGTGTACATGTGTGCGAATGTTGAGTGTAAATATAATTCCCCTTTGTTTGTTTGTTAACCAATGTAAGTGTGAATCCAATGTAGTTGCACAGAATCTGAATGTCTGTATGTCCAATGTCATTCTTTGTCTAAATGTTTTCTGTAACCTGATATACCTTCTCACACTGGAAATTGCAATAAAAAAGAACCTATGCTTCAAAGTCATTGAAAAGTCATTCATGACATAATTGGTGTCAGAAGTGGGATATTCTTTTCCAATGTGGGAAAGTTATTCATAACATTATATTTTTATTTATTTATTTATTTATTATTCAAACTTATATGCCGCCACTCCCCTAGGGCTCGGAGCGGCTTACACAACAAACTGGAATCTAACACAAATTAAAACAAGAGATCAAAGGTCAAAAAACAAATATGGCCTCACGAACAGGATTATTCTTTTCCAGTATGAGAGAACAAAGCAACACTTTTGGTTTCTGGAGTAGGATTTTTTTTTCCAGTGAAACAAAATAAATTTGGAGTAGTGAAAGGAATTTTTCTTGCTTTAGAGAAATAAAGTGTTTAGAACATCTTGAAGAATTGCAGAAAATGAGGGAACAAGGGAGAGTCCTAATTCTCCAAAAAGTAAATGTCCTGGAGTAGTTTAAATGGATTGGAATCCCCATATGGAGAGGGGGAGGAAGATCACTGGTGTGGAAACTTGCTAAGTTGCTTGTTGTTGTTCTTTAGCCATTGAAGGGCTAAATATGTTGAAGTTTTTAAAGGGAATTTAGAGAAAAGTCTTTCCAATGAGGGAAGATAGCCCTTCCCATGGACCAGAGCACAACAGGTCTACCGGATTCCTCAGGTTTGTCACAATTTGCGCATTATTAGATTGAGTCTTTTATAGGAATATTCTGCTGATGTTTTCCCAGATGTTGATTCTTCTTGATTGGTGTTAGCCTTGTGTTGACTTCCTTCTTAACATTGTAAACATTTCTGTTATCATTGTCACAGTTCTTATCACAGTTTACTTTCTGAGCTGTCATTAGCAACTTCTAATTACAATCCAGCAAGCAGATTTAGTCATTGGAGGCCTTAATATTATATTGTTTTTTCCAAAATTATTAACTCTATCCATACAACTTCCATTCTTCCATTCATACCCATACATCATATCAAATCCATATTTATCGAATCTGCACATTAAATTTCTTGTGACACCTGGGTATGGGGAACAGGCAGGGCCGGGCCAAATGTAATGAATACATTAAAAGTGCTGGACAGGACAGGTGAAGTGTAAGAATTTCAGGGTAGGTGCAATGTGCAGGCAATCTTAAATCTCTGGTAAAGTGTGTTTGAGACATGATGCTGGGAGAGGGCCTTCTCTGTGATGGCCCCCCAACTCTGGAACTCACTTCCTAAGGATATCAGGCAAGCCCCCACATTGGCAGTCTTTAGGAAGAGCCTGAAAACGTGGCTGTTCCAGTGTGCCTTCCCTGAATAAGGAAGTAATTCCCAGCGAAATGTCCTCAGAAGCACTTTAACTACTCGTTGGGTTGCTCTCCCTTCATTTCTTTTAAAACCCTCCTATCAGATACATCCTTCCTCTGTTCATTCCCAGCGCTTATTTTTTCAATTTTTAATTATTACATTTGGCCCGGCCATAGGTTTTTAAATCCTTGTGTGTTACTGTTTATGTGTGAGTTATATTAATTGTATTGTTTTTGCCTATTGTTTTTTGTTTTATTGATATGTTGTCAGGCTTGGCCTCATGTAAGCCGCTCCGAGTCCCCTTGGGGAGATGGTGGGGAGGTATAAATAGTTTTATTATTATTATATTATTAAGTTATGTATTTTATTTTGCTGTACTTGTATTGCATTTTGTTGTAATTATGGGCTTGGCCTCATGTTAGCCGCTCCGAGTCCCTTGGGGAGATGATGGTGGGGTATAAATAAAGTTTTATTATTATTATATTATGTTATGTATTTTATTTTGCTGTACTTGTATTGCATTTTGTTGTAATTCTGGGCTTGGCCTCATGTTAGCCGCCCCGAGTCCCCTTGGGGAGATGGTGGTGAGGTATAAATAAAGTTTTATTATTATGTTATGTATTTATTTTGCTGTACTTGTATTGCATTTTGTTGTAATTCTGGGCTTGGCCTCATGTTAGCCGCCCCAAGTCCCCTTCAGGGAGATAGTGGCGAGGTATAAATAATGTTTATCATTATTATTGTTGTTATTATTATTATTCTACAGCCTGAAAAACTGACAACAACCCAGTGATTCTGGCCATGAAACCCTTTGGCAATACAATAATAATAATAATTGTATTTCTAAACCACTTCCCCTTGCTTGATAAGGTGGGTTATTTAATTTATTTATTTATTAAGACACCTTGTGTCTCAAAGTGGGTTACAGCAGAACTAAAACACATTATAAACATGATTTAAACATCCATAAAATACAAATATTGAAATGCATTTCTATAAAAGGTGCACATTCATAGAATCAAAGAGTTGGAAGAGACCTCCTGGGCCATCCAGTCCAACCACCTGCCAAGAAGCAGGAATATTGCATTCAAATCACCCCTGTCAGATGGCCATCCAGCCTCTGTTTAAAAGCTTCCAAAGAAGGAGCCTCCACCACACTCCGGGGCAGAGAGTTCCACTGCTGAACGGCTCTCACAGTCAGGAAGTTCTTCCTCATGTTCAGATGGAATCTCTTTTCTTGTAGTTTGAAGCCATTGTTCCGCGTCCTAGTCTCCAGGGAAGCAGGAAACAAGCTTGCTCCCTCCTCCCTGTGGCTTCCTCTCACATATTTATACATGGCTATCATATTATTATTATTATTATAACAGGGATGAGAGCTGGACCATAGGGGAAGGCTGAGCGAAGGAAGATAGAGCTTTTGACTGTGGTGTTGGAGGAATTCTGAGAGTGCCTTGGACTGCGAGAAGATTCATCCAGTCCATAATTCAGGAAATAAAGCCCGACTGCTCGTTGTAAGGAAGGATAGTAGAGGCAAAGATGAAGTACTTTGGCCACATCATGAGAAGAGACAGGAAAGCTTAGAGAAGACAATGATGCTGGGGAAAATGGAAGGAAAAAGGAAGAGGGGCCGACCAAGGGCAAGATGGATGGATGGCATCCTTGAAGTGACGGGACTGACCTTGAAGGAGCTGGGGGTGGTGACGGCCGACAGGGAGCTCTGGCGTGGACTGGTCCATGAGGTCACGAACGAATGAACAACAACAAAGAGATTAAAACACAAGGAGCAGAGATTAAAATCTATGCTGAAAACTAGATGGAAGCTGAATGCAGGCTCTGCAAGGAGACTCACTCCAGAAGGGCCCGGATGTCTCTCTCTCTCTCTCTGTCAAGGCCTGGCCTCAGGGAGGACATCCCTCAGGAAAGAGCAGGCCCCTCTCCCTGACCCTGTTGATCTGCCCGGAGCACAAAGGAGGCCCAGAGGCAGGAGACAACAAGTTAAACATGAGCCAACAAGGTGATGTGGCGGCAAAAAAAGCCAATGGGATTTTGGCCTGCATCAATAGGAGCATAGTGTCTAGATCTAGGGAAGTAATGCTACCCCTCTATTCCGCTTTGGTTAGACCACACCTGGAATATTGTGTCCAATTCTGGGCACCACAATCAAGAGAGATATTGACAAGCGGGAATGTGTCCAGAGGAGGGCGACTAAAATGATCAAGGGTCTGGAGAACAAGCCCTATGAGGAGTGGCTTAAGGAGCTGGGCATGTTTAGCCTGAAGAAGAGAAGGCTGAGAGGAAATATGAGAGCCATGTATAAATATGTGAGAGGAAGCCACAGGGAGGAGGGAGCAAGCTTCCTTTCTGCTTCCCTGGAGACTAGGACGCAATGGGACAATGGCTTCAAACTACAAGAGAGGAGATTCCATCTGAACATGAGGAAGAACTTCCTGACTGTGAGAGCCGTTCAGCAGTGGAACTCTCTGCCCCGGAGTGTGGTGGAGGCTCCTTCTTTGGAAGCTTTTAAACAGAAGCTGGATGGCCATCTGTCAGGGGTGATTTGAATGCAATATTCCTGCTTCTTGGCAGAATGGGGTTGGACTGGATGGCCCATGATGTTATAATCATGAGGAAGAACTTCCTGACTGTGAAAGCTGTTCAGCAGTGGAACTCTCTGCCCCAGGGGGAGTGTGGTGGAGGCTCCATCTTTGGAAGCTTTGAAACAGAGGCTGGATGGCCATCTGTCAGGGGTGATTTGAATGCAATGTTCCTGCTTCTTGGCAGAATGGGGTTGGACTGGATGGCCCATGAGGTCTCTTCCAACTCTAGGATTCTATGACTGAGAGCTATTCAGCAGTGGAACTCTCTGCCCCGGAGTGTGGTGGAGGCTCCTTCTTTGGAGGCTTTTAAACAGAGGCTGGATGGCCATCTGTCAGGGGTGCTTTGAATGCAATATTCCTGCTTCTTGGCAGAATGGGGTTGGACTGGATGATTGCCCAGGAGGTCTCTTCCAACTCTGATTCTATGAGGCCCTTCTCAATATGTATATCTCGAGTTAGATGAGACTGAAATGGCTCCCGGATGGAAAGCTGAGGAGGAAGAGGGGGGGAAGGGGAGAGAGACCTCGTTCAAAACCCTCACCTTCTCCTCAGGAAAGAGCAGGCCGCGGCTGAGGGAAAGGCCTCCCTCTCACACACTCTCTCTCTCTCTCTAGGCCAGGCCTCCAGGGAGGGAATCCCTCAGGAAAGAGGAGGCCGCGGCTGAGTCTGGAAAGGAAGGCCTCCCTCTCTCCCTCTCTCTTGATCTGCCTGAGGCAGGAGAGGAATCCTTGGCCCACCTCAGCCTGTCTTGGTCGAGTGGGAAGAGGCCCAAATGGGTCCCGGATGGAAAACACAGGAGGAGGCGGTGGCGAAGGGGGCGGGGCCTGGGTGGTGACGTCAGCGCCTCCTTGCCGCAAAGTGGGCGTGGCCACGGAGCTCACAAAAGGGGAGGGGCCTGCCAGGTGAAAGGGGGCGGGGCTAGATGGCCTTTGGGTCCTCCCTCCCTCTCTGAGCTCCTCTCCTTCCTTCTCAAGGGCTGAGAGGCTTTCTTGGCTGCAGGGAATGTGCTGCCCTCCCTTCTCCATTGTGAGGCTCAAACCCCAAAGGGATCCCAGGCTGCATCCTCAGGAGGGGAGGGGATGGGTTTAGATATCTGTGGAATGACCAGGGTGGGACAAAGGACTTTTGTCTGCTGGGGCTAGATGTGAATGTTTCAGCTGGTCACCTTGATTAGCATTCAATGGCTTGGAAGGGTCTGGGGGGAATCTTTTGTGGAGAGTGATTTTGAACATTTATTTATTTATTTATTTCTGCTACTTATACCCCGCCCTTCTCACCCCCGAGGGGGGACTCAGGGCGGCTTACAAAAAGAAGGCACAATTCGATGCCCTTATCCAATACATGCAAATATAAAACAATTACAATAATCAAACAATTAACAGATTAAAACATCAATATATAGCACCATAGCACAACAATAAGCATTCTCATGGTCAGTGTTTCGCATTCCATAGGTCCAATAGATTTCTTCATTATTTGCCCATCATTATGGTCTTTCTTTTTTAGCTGCCAGAGTTTCCGAAAGCCTGGTCCCACATCCAAGTTTTCAGCTTTTTCCTGAATGAGAGAAGGGAGGTCGCTGATCTGATCTCCCCGGGGAGTGAGTTCCACAGGTGGGGGGCCACTACTGAGAAGGCCCTGCTCCTCGTCCCCGCCAGTCTCACTTGTGATAAAGGCGGGGTCGAGAGCAGGGCCTCCCCAGAAGATCTTAGACTCCGAGGTGGGATGTAGAGGGAGATCCGTTCGGACAGATACACTGGGCCGGAACCGTATAGGGTTTTGTAGGTCAAAACCAGCACCTTGAATTGTGCTCGGAATTGGATTGGCAGCCAGTGGAGCTGGCATAACAGGGGGGTGGTATGCTCCCTGTATGCCGCTCCGGTGAGCAATCTGGCTGCCTCCCGTTGGACTAGTTGAAGTTTCCGAGCAGTCTTCAAAGGCAACCCCACGTAGAAAAATGAACAAAATCTGGCTACCAGTATTAAAAAAAACTCAAAAATTACAACAGCAAAACAACAGAGGGGAAACAAACAGGCACATAAAATCACTCTCAACAAAAGATTCCCCCCAGGCACTTCCAAGCCATTGAATGCTAATCAAGGTGATATAGCTCACCTACAATCAAAGAGAATTCTGAACTCCACCAATGATGGAATTGAACCAAATATGGCACACAGAACTCCCATGACCAATAGAAAATACCAGAAGGGTTTGGTGGGTTTTGACCTTGAGTTTTGGAGTTATAGTTCACCAACATTCAGAGAGCACTGTTGCTCTCTGAACATGGCACAGATGCTCAATGGTGGAGTTTGGGGAAACAGGCCTTGACATTTGGGAGTTGTAGCTGCTGGGTTTTATAGTTCACTTACAATCAAAGAGCATTCTGAACTCCACCAATGATGGAATTGAACCAAATATGGCACACAGAACTCCCATGATGAACAGAAAATATATATCAGTCATTGGTTGGGTGGGTGGGTGGGTGGGGGCACCAAAATACTGTTTGCTTACCGTTGAAAATTACCTAAAGCCACCTCTGCCCCCAGGACAGCCGTCATAACCCCAACGGGTCCCTTCTGCCTGCCTGGACTGAGTCCCCCACTCTTTCCTGGCTGGCCTGGGAGGCTGAGCAGGGCCAGCCCTGGGGGGACTTGGGGGGGGGGGGAACCCCAAGAGCCCCAAGAGGGAGGGAAGCCCTGCTGCTCCCACCCAAGGAAGGAAGGAAGGAAGGAAGGAAGGAAGGCCCTCCAGGACTCAGAAGTGGGGAGGGGGACACCCCAGGAGGGCGTGCCTGGCCTCCCTTCCCCCCACATGCAAGCCCCGCACTAGCACACAGGAAGGAGGAACACTCTCCAATCAGGAACACAAGCTGATTCACATTCTGTTGTTGTTGTTGTTATTATTATTATTATTCTATTTATTTGTTTATTTACAGTATTTATATACCACTTTTCTCACCCCTGGAGGGACTCAAAGCGGTTTACACATAGATAATGGCAAACATTCAATGCCTTACAACTACAATAGTAAAACCACACTTTAAACATAAACCATATTAAAAACAGTACATCATCAAATATCAAAACAGTTATTAAAACTGAGAGAGACGTGATTTAGAAAATGAATTCCCAATCCTTACATGTCCCAAAAGTCCTGTCTATAGAGAAAAACCTTGCTTGCTAGAAACTGCTGATGCATAGAAAAAGTTAGCAAACAGAAAGAAAGATTGATCTCTTTCATCCTGGAAAGAAGTGACGAGCGGAGTGCCGCAGGGTTCCCTCCTGGGCCCGGTCCTGTTCAACATCTTTATTAATGACTTAGATGAAGGGCTAGAAGGCAGGATCATCAAGTTTGCAGACGACACCAAATTGGGAGGGAGAGCCAATACTCCAGAGGACAGGAGCAGGATTCAAAACGATCTTGACAGATTAGAGAGATGGGCCAAAACTAACAAAATGAAGTTCAACAGTGACTAATGCAAGATACTCCACTTTGGCAGGAAAAACGAAATGCAAAGATACAGAATGGGGGATGCCTGGCTCGAGAGCAGTACGTGTGAAAAAGATCTTGGAGTCCTCGTGGATAACAAGTTAAACATGAGCCAACAATGTGATGTGGCGGCAAAAAAAGCCAATGGGATTTTGGCCTGCATCAATATTTATTTATTTATTTATTTAATACACTTATATACCGCAGTATCTCAGCCTGGAACGGCGACTCATTGCGGTTTAACAACAGATATTGCGGTTTAACAACAGATAAACAATAGGAGCATAGTGTCTAGATCTAGGGAAGTAATGCTACCCCTCTATTCTGTTTTGGTTAGACCACATCTGGAATATTGTGTCCAGTTCTGGGCACCACAATTCAAGAGAGATATTGACAAGCTGGAATGTGTCCAGAGGAGAGCGACTAAAATGATAAAAGGTCTGGAGAACAAGCCCTATGAGGAGCGGCTTAACAAGCTGGGCATGTTTAGCCTGAAGAAGAGAAGGCTGAGAGGGGATATGATAGCCATGTCTAAATATGTGAGAGGAAGCCACAGGGAGGAGGGAGCAAGCTTGTTTTCTGCTTCCCTGGAGACTAGGACGCAGAACAATGGCTTCAAACTACAAGAGAGGAGATTCCATCTGAACATGAGGAAGAACTTCCTGACTGTGAGAGCCGTTCAGCAGTGGAACTCTCTGCCCCGGAGTGTGGTGGAGGCTCCTTCTTTGGAAGCTTTTAAACAAAGGCTGGATGGCCATCTGTCAGGGGTAATTTGAATGCAATATTCCTGCTTCTTGGCAAAATGGAGTTGGACTGGATGGCCCAGGAGGTCTCTTCCAACTCTTTGATTCTATGATTCTTTGTTCAGTAAAAGATGCAAGCAGTAAGTCACTCCCTCACTCCCTTAATTTTCCCAGCCGTAGAAGAAATGCAACTTGCACACAGATAAGCCGACCTGGCGTTCAACAACTTAGGGTCAGAGATTTCAACAGAACCATTGTTATAGGCTTTTGCTGTCAGTAACATAGAAGAACCAATAAGACTCCTAATTGTCTGACATAACCAATGAGATGATTGATTTCTATGTACCAATCACACTGTTTTAATGAAAGTCATAAATAATCAATGCAACCAACTTTAGGTTGGACAAACCCCTTTATTGCATTTCTATATGCATGTCCGTCACTATTGCTTCAGCTGCGCAATAAATAGCATTTTGCAGTTTTAAAGATTCAACTTTCGTGGTGTCCTTCCTCGCCCTCCTTGGGAAGGGGCAATCTGCTCTTGGATTTTGGATTAGTGGATTATCTTGGTCGTTTTTGCCCCTACAAAACCATAAAACAATCTCATCAGTCGAGTCACCGTTCCAGTCCTTGTCCCTCTAAAAAGCCGCATACATCTATTGTCCAAAGGCCTGGTCCCAGAACCATGATTTTAATTTTTTTCTAAAGGTCAGGAGCAATTGTGATGGCGAATTGTGATGGAATGCCCTTTATGTACGGTTGTTTTTTGTAATAATTGTGCATTGTAATTGCTTATTGGTAATTTATGGATAATGTGTTAAGTCAATTGTTATATGTTGTATGGAACCACTGCTGTTTCTACTGTTTTTACTGTTTGTGAACCGCTGTGAGTCGCCTTCGGGCTTGAGATACAGCGGTATATAAGCAAAGTAAATAAATAAGTAAATAAATAAGTACTTTATTTCTTTAAAACATGCCTCCAGAAACAAGATTAAAATTAACCCAATAAGTTTACTGGAACAAACAGAGGGAATTCCTGTCGGAGCTCTAAAAAGGTGAATCAAAACAAAGTATGACACAGACACACTTTGATTATTTAAATGATACAGAATTAGAATGCCGAAGCACAGATATAAGGTATAAACTCTGAGGTAAATACTACTATAATGGTAAGCACTCTCTACAGGCCCATAGCCAGGATTTTGATTGGGGGGGGGG